TCTCTCAGTGGATAAACTTCTGGTATCTCCTCTGAGGAGATTGCAGTGTCCTTCTGCCTAACCTTGCTGGGGGTGCCAGCCAACAAGTGAGACCCTCTAAAATGCCTTGTCATCGTGGACCTGCTCAGGCAAGTTCTGGACTCTTTTCAACAGGCTTTATCCAGCTCTGCAGAGAGCTTTGAAAGGCTGCAACATGTCTCCAGAGCACGACTCCAAAAAGCATGTGCGTGTGCTCCCCTCGCACTTGGGGCTGCTGCCAAGTGCGGGGTGGAACCGCCTGCACAGGGACTGTGCAGGTGCCAGACGGGGCTGGCAGTGCAAGAACCAGGGCCTGGCACACTGCTCCGTGCTACAGGAGTCCCCTGTGTGCCTGCACACAGCTCTGGGCTGTGAGGCAAATTGGCCTGTGGCAAATTGGCCCTGTGGCAAATGCTGTTTGCAGCCATGAGGGAGCTCCCACTACTGATGTTATGAGTGTGGGGAAAAGAACTTGAGTGGAAGGGCCTGGGCAGCTGTCAGGTGAGAGGGATTGTTGCTCTGGGCAAGACTCAGTTTCCAGGTAATTTGACTAAAACTGTCGCAACAAAGAGCGAAGAGCATCAGCACTGGTCTTGTGCTGTTGGCTTGTTCTGCTGGGTGGTCTCTGCAGAGCCAGGCTGAAGTAGAAGCACTGGCTCAGAGGGCAGTGTGGGTGGTGGTGGCAGAGCCTCAGCTGCAGCTGTCAGGAGTAAATTCAGTGAATGCTCCATGTGAAACAGCTGGATGTGGCACTCAGTACTCAGGTCTAGTTGACAAGATGGTGATTGGTCGCAGGATGGACTTGATGATACTGGAAGTCTTTTCCAACCTAAATGATACTGTGATTCTAGTGCTCTTAAGGTGTTATCCAAGGCATAAAAGTGTCGTTTTCCTCAGCATAGTGGTACAGGGATGTGTTTTCCCAGAGCTGCCAGCACTGGTAACCCAGCTCCATGAGGCTCATCTTCACATTCATCTCTTATAGAATGGGTGTGGGTAAGCTACCAGGAAGGTCTAAATAGTAAATGGATGTAACTTGGAGCATGCAGAGAAGAGTGAGCAGTATGCTTTAAGGTCCTGGGCAGGTGCTGGAAGTCCAAAACTTTGAGTCTTAACCAGCAGATAGAAGAGTAGAAGCTGTTTGGAGGCTGGTTGTATTGGGCATTGGGCATGTTTCCCAAGGTTGTGCTGTGAACTGCAGGTTGTGCTGTGAACTGCAGGCTGTGCTGATGGGTGATCTGCTTGAGACTGGGTAGACTCATGTTAAATAAGCTAAGTGTTTGGTAGCTGGATTTAAAGGACAATTTGGGGTCTGTTAGCAGAATTGGCCTGAACAGTTAAAAGCAGTGCACTGTGAAACCACTGTGGGCTCAGTGTAGCTGCTTAATTCTGTGAAGTGTCTGGTTTGGGTGCGTTGAGTCCAAGAGGCTTGTGCGTGCTCCCCTTGGCATCTTCAGGGGCCCTAGGATGATGCAGGAATTGAGATGCATTGCAACAGCATTGTCCTGACAGCATGTACTAGGGAGGGCTCAGCTGAGGAAGAGGAGTGGTTTGTAAAACACACCTTCTCCAGCAAGTGACCTGTGTGCCCACGACCTGGCAGAGTGCCACGTGGGCGTCGCAGCTGCTCCACAGAGCTCTCAGACCTGCCAGTGTTGGGCTGACGCACTCCGAGATGGAGCACACTGGCTCTGGATCAGGCATTAACACTGCAGCAGTGAGTCAAAAGTCAGCGCTGAGTTTCTATTAAAAGCTCCTTTCTTGCTGTCCCCTGCAGAGGAGTGTTGGCATGTGCCTCCCTTGCAGCACTGAGCGGAGGCAGGAGAAGTTCCAGAAGCTCTCTGTGCACAGCAGCTGCGTGTGAGCCGCAAACGGGAGTTGTGTTGACCCTACAGTTAAGATTTCCCCTCTAGATGTGAAAAATACTTAGTTGCTTGTGCTCATGGGGTTTTTTCCCTCGTAGTCTGAGTAGTTCCCTGATGTTTGCTGCTTCACTTTGGGACTTTCAGGGATGCTCTTGACACCAGGAATTGCTGATGAATTTTGCGTGTGCGTTGGGAATGGTTTTTCCTTCCACAAGCTGTCTGTTTGGGAGGAGAGATGAGGCCAATTTCCCAGGAAGAACTGTGACCACCATGACTTGAGGGCTTTTTTTCAGCCTTGTCAGGCTCGTGTGCCCCAACACCCAGGGGTTGGAGCAGGGAGTTAGAGCAGGATGCCTTCGGGATGGGGATTGAGGAGTAAGATCTGGTGTCTTATGTTGGTGTTCACTAAGTTCCCTGCGCACTCTGGCTTTGAGAGGCACAGCCTGGTCACAAAGCAAGTGTGAAGGAGGAAATGCTGAGCCACAGCTCATAGTTTTTCCTCCCAATATCCATGTGAGAGCAGCTGTGGGTCCCAGGTGAAGCTGAGTCAGGCCCACTGGGGTGATGTGGGGTCTCCCATGAGCTCTGTGCAGCCTGCAGAGCATGTAACCAAGTGCTGTCTGTGCAGAGCTGTCAAAGCTGCTGGAGTGGATGGAATCCAGCTGCATTAACAGCAGGATGTCAGCGCTTCCAGGACATGAGGTTAGGAGTGGGGCAGTTGTAGCCAGCAGGATTTTGCTCGGTGGTAAATGCCCAGACAGTAGATCCCTTTAAAGGCCAGTAATCCTGCTACTTGAATGTGCTCGTACTGGCTTCACTGGTTTTGTGTCTGTGGTGAGAGCTGAGGAATCCTGTGAGAAAAGCAAGTGGTGGCAGAGATGAAGGTGACATAAATGGGGCAGAGCAGCTGGACCCTGTAATGCCTTTGGGAGCTCCTGATGAGTCCCTAAACCCTTGCTGGTGCATCCCAAAGTTCTGGTCCTGGGTTTGCAGTGGCCAGGAGCCTGGTAGCAGTCTGCCTGCTGCAGGTCCCTGGAATGCTGCACAGCTGGGGTTAGCCCAGGGCTGCTGGCTGACCCGCGTTCCAAGCCCACCGAGCTCACTGGCCGAGGAGGAGGAGGAAGGCGTCAGCACTGGAGTGCTTGTCAGCAGCGAGACTTGGGCCGTGGGATCAGCTGCTTTGCTTTGCCTCTTGTGCTGTTTGGTGACTAATCAGATTTTGGAGCCTGTTGGACAGATCCAGCTGTCTCCGCTGAACAATACTCGGGCTGTATTTTTAAACACATCACGTGGCTTCAGAGAAGTCGGCAAACCAGCGTAGTGCGGCTTGCCGGGCTGGGAGATGCTCTGCCTAGCTTGGAGCCGTCACTAGGAGGGAGCAGCCTCCTCCCTGGCTCCAGGTGGCTGCAGCAGCCTTCCCTTGGCTCCTGGGGCTGCTCCCACCCGGGCTCTGCCCAGGTGAGTACCACTGGGCTGGCGAGGAGCTCCTGTGGCTGTGGGGCTGGGTGTGAGCACAGGTGCTGCTGTGGGGGGAAGCCAAGGGCAGGAGATCCCTTTCCAAGTGTGGTCAGAGGTGAGTTCAGAGTCCTGTGCTGTAGCCAAAATAAGGGGAATTTGAGGGATGAGGCTGTGCAGGCATGGGGAGATGCTGTGGCTGTCACTCAAGGCTCTGCCTGCCGTTGAGGGAGATACTTCAAGTGAAGGACCTACCTATGCCTGTCTGGAGTCTCTGGTGGTGTTGTGACAGTTCTCTGTAGTATGAGGCTATAGAGGTGCTGGTTCCACAGCAGATGTGCTGCTGGATAGTGTGGCTTGGGGCAGGTACATCCCAGCATCTCACCTCAGTCATGCTCAGCAGCTTTCTCTGGCACCAACACCGTCTTGTCCTGGTGTCTGACCATGGTGCACTCAAGCACGATGGCATTTCTGTTCTCTGGGTTTGGACAGTGTTTTGGATTATTAATCCTCACGTGCACAGGACCTGCTGCAAATCTGGGTTAAAACCTTGTGGTCCAACTGGCTGAGATCTGGTGGGGCTGGAGAATATCAAGTGGATCCTAAACTTGCTTTGCTGAGAACTGAAAGCTTCAGGGCAAGCTGCCTTGTTTTGCAGCCTCCGAATAACTGAAAACATTTCTGAATGCTTTGCTCTCTTCATTGGGTTTGGGGACACATTCAGCTTGTTGAGACTTGCTGCTTTTGAATAGAGCTGGTTGGTGTCATGCCCCTGTGGGATCCTGCATGGCCAAGCCTGTCCTGCCTTCCCTCTCCTGGGTGGCAGCTGTCCCCACACCCCTGACCCATGGAGCAGGACGTGACTTTATGATGACCCCTGTGTGGCCTGGTGCTGTGCTCCAGGGGCAGCTCTGTTTGCAGGGGGGACTTTGCTTGCCTGCATCCTCCTCAGTGGGAGGAAAACCTGCTGCTGTGTGAGGGAAGCAGTCTGGCACATACTTGTCTGTTGGCTCTTGGGCAGAGGCCTGACCAGACAGGCTTGTTGTGAACACATAGCAGGGATGGGTCTCGCTGTGCACTGCAGAGTCTCTCTGTCAGCTGGCCAGGCTGGCACATTCCTGGCTGCCCACAGCCAGCTCCTGGCATCACTGATTTGTGGTGTCCTACCCCTGTATGTGAAAGTGCCTGCTGGTGGCCCAGGTGTGTTTTGCTCAGCTTGACCATTGGTGTGTGTTCCTGTAACTGTGGACCTGCTGCCCTGGGTCCCACCTTGTTCCAGCACAAGCAGCATGGAATGACAGACTGGGCAGAGAGGCCTATCCAGGGCACCTCTGAGGTCCATATCCACAATGTTGAGTCTCCAGTTCTCTCTCAGGTGAAGTGGCATCTGTGGCTGCCCTTGGTTTCAGGAGAGTAACCCACCTTCATGTTTGTCAGCCCCACCAGGTTGCTACCAGTGGCTCCACCTGTGCAGCACCATGTCACAAGTCATGGCAAAGAGCTGTGTGAAGGGTTGGTACCTGCAGGGGGTACCACCTCCAAGAAAAGCCCTTTATGGGCTGACAGGAGCCTGATAGCCACCTGGACCTCTGCCACGAGAGCCAGAAGGAAGGAGGTGTGTCCTGCTGCAGCACTGACAGTCTGTCTCTCTCTGTGTTGCAGTTCTCAGCATGCTGAGTAACCCTCTGGGGAACGTCCTGGGGAAGCCCCCGCTGAGTTTCCTGCCTTTAGACCCTATTGGTTCAGACCTGACAGAAAAGTTCTCCACGCCGTCGCTGAGGAGCTCCCGCCTGGACTCCCGTTCCCTCCTGGACTCCCGCTCCAGTAGCCCCTCAGACTCGGACACCAGTGGCTTCAGCTCTGGCTCTGACCACCTCTCTGACTTGATTGTAAGTTTGGGTCTTCCCCACCCATTCTGTGGTCGCCGGGGTCTTGCATGGGAGAGCTTGTGAGGGGCTGTCAGCCTCAGGCCTGTGTGCTCAGGAGGGAAAGGGAATGCTGGAGGGAGCTGTTGTGCCCCCACTGACACAGCCCAGGGTTTGGGAGAAGGGCTGCTCTTGCAGTCCTTCAGCACAGGCCAGTAATATCCTCGTATTTTTTTTCTTCTAAATTAATGTTTTGGCTTTTTGGGTCTGTGCTTGCAGCCCTAAATGGGTTAGAGTCCCAGAGGGGTCTGAGTGCTTGAAATGGTGTGTGGCAGGGGAGGCTTTGTGCCCTGATCCCCACAGGGAAGTGGCTGATCAGCACAGCTGCCTCCAGGCTCCAGCCTAGACTTCTCAAGAGCTCCTGTCCCTGCCTTTCAATGCCCTTCCCATTTATTCACTGCACTTCTCCATCTCAGGCCTGTTCCTTTTAGAGCAAACTGGGTCTGGCCTGCTCCCATTCCCTAAAATTTGGAAGGCAGGGAGTGAGGCCAGTGTCTCACTGACCCACCTTGTGCTGCTGGGGCTGTGGTGCAGCACAAGCAGCGGCTCTGCGTGCCAGGAGGACAACCTGGCTACCACCAGCTCTGGGGCTCCTACTGCCTGGCTTGGCCTTGGCACGAGGAGATAAAACCAGGAGCTGCTCCTGGCTCTACTGTGGTGCAGCCATGGCTGCGGCCCCTGTGTTGGGGTGGGTGTGAAGGACAGTTGTCCTGTGGTAAGGTTGATTCTGCTATGATCAGGATCTGTGCTGTGAGTGGCTGCCCTACCATAGGCAGTGACGGTGGCAGGCGGTGCAGGGTGCAGGGCTCTGTGCTGGCCTTGTCTGTGAAGGTCAGGTGTCCCAGCACAGCCCTGGCATGGGCAGCTGCTTTGGCAGCGCGGGGATGGATCCGCAGCGCGGCTGGCACCGTGAGCCGCACAGCGTTGTGTGTCCCTGCTGCTGCATTCATCCCTGCTTTTCCTCCTCCTGCCCTGGGAGAGGCATGTTAAACCTTTGAGTGGCTGGAGCTGTGGCCAGTGGAGCCCACTCACTGGTCAGGCAAGCCTGGAGTTGGTCTGTGAGAGTGGGAAGTAGCTGGTGCCTGCAGAGCCCGTGGGTGCTGCCAGGGAGCCCTGCCTGCCGCAGGCAGGGCCTGGAGCAGAGTGCGAGGCTCCCCCTGGGATGCCTGGTGCTCCCTGGGGGTGACACTGTCCTTGAGGCTGCACAGCCAGGGATAGTTGTTGGCTTTGTGGGCTGTGAGGTGCCTCCTGCTGCTGATCATGGGTGTGGGTTCTGTGGGAAATGGCTGCAGGGCTTTCCCAGGGAATCTGGTCTCATCAGAGTACTGGGACAGGTGGGGTCAATGCTTTCCTGCCTCTGCCAGACCTGAGAGGGTCTCAGTGGATCAGAGCCCCCTCTGCCATGGGTGAGGGCAGGGCCCCAGCATGATGCCTGGCTGGTGTTGTGTGCTCTTACTTGAAGCTGGATTTCAATGTGGCTTTTCTCTTGTAGTCGAGCCTTCGCATCTCCCCCCCTCTGTCCTTCCTGCCTCTCACTGGGGTGTCAAGAGAGCCCCTAAAGATGGGAGTGGGATCCCAGCTGGATCAAGATCAAGCTGCCCTGGCTGCAGTAAGTTCCTCCCCAGCCAGTGCATCAAAAAGATGGCCTGGAGCATCTGCGTGGCCTTCCTGGGATCTCTTGGACTCTCCAGAAGATCCCTTCAGTATTGAAAGAGAAGCCAGGCTTCATAGGCAAGCTGCAGGTGAGCTGGGTGGTGGGTCCTGGCAGGCTGCAGGGCCAGATGTTGGTCCCACACTTCTGGGAGGGGCTTGTAGGTGGCCTTTGTGCAGATAACGTGACTGGACACGGAGTTTGCAGCAGAGCAGAGCTTTTTCCATGCATGCTCCTCTGCCTGCTCCAAGAACAGGCAGGTGTCTGGATAGCTGCCAGTGTCTGTGCAGCTATGCTGAGCAAATATTTGGGGAATACGGGGAGACCAATGGGAGAATGGAAAGGAAATGATCCCATACTGAGTGTTACTGGTGTCTGTCCAAAGCCGTGAACGAAGCAACCTGCACCTGGAGTGGGCAGCTGCCTCCCCGAAACTACAAGAACCCTGTCTACTCCTGCAAAGTATTCCTGGGAGGAGTCCCATGGGACATCACGGAAGGTGAGCAGCCCCAGCCCCATGCTGAGGCCTCGGGAAGGTGCACATTGGGAAGGTGCAGGATGGAGCTTTTCAGGGGGTGCTGACCTCTCCTTCTGTCTGTAGCTGGATTGATCAACACTTTCCGTGTTTTTGGCTCCCTGAGTGTGGAGTGGCCCGGTAAGGATGGCAAACACCCACGCTGCCCTCCCAAAGGTAATATGCCTAAAGGTAATAGCGACACGGTAGGGTTACTTTTTTCCCATGCTATGTTACAGCACGGATGCTGGGATGGTACGGCTGCATGCTGGTGACTGGATGGTACAGAGCACCCTAGGGTAATGTCCCGCCCTCGCTTGTGTCCACACCTGGGCTGCAGAGCACTGTCACCCCAACCCGCCATCCCCACCCATCCCCAGCAGGGCTGGACAGAGCTGTAGGGTGGGGGGACCCCTCTCTGGGTGGTTTT